GCTAGACATACCTGATGTAACCATTTCATTGGACCTTTTGGCATCATTAGCTTCATTGCCTCTTTCTAGGATATCCTTAAGAATTTTTTTTTTGAGTTTTGGCTTGATATTCATAAATTTCTTCAGGTTTTGTTTATCATGGGAGTACCTTATTTCTCCATAAATTTTGAAAATATTTATCACAGAATATAATTGTCTGGGTTGGAAGTTGTTTTTAAGAGTTTGAAATACTTCAATCCATGTTCTCCTTGCCTTTAAGGTTTGTGTTGAGAAATCTATTGTAACCCTGATAGGTTTTCCTTTAATTCATTGTTTTCCTCTAATAGCCTTTAAGATCCTGTTCTTGTGTTTTATTTCTGGTGTTTTAATTATTATGTGGCATGGAGTTCTCTTTTTTTTCTGATCATGGCTATATGTAGTTCTATATATTCACTTAACCAGTATGTCAAGTTCCTTTTCCATGTCTGGAAAGTTGTCTGCTATTATTTGTGTAAAGCAGTATCTTATGCCCTTTCTGGTGTCTTCTGATTTTTCACTAATTCCAGTAGTCATGTATTGGTCCTCTTTGAGTCACCTAGGAGCTTCGGGATCCATTTTTCTATCTCTCATTAATTTATCATTGACCTCAGCCTGATCTTCTATCAGTAGATCTGATACTCTTTTTCACATTGTTTGCTTCTGCTACACATACTTTCAAGCGTGTTTTTAATCGCTTGGATTCCTGTTTGAAATTTTGTTATGGACTACTATTCTTGCCTATGCTGGGCATTCATGTTTTCCATCTCTTTGTTTAGCTCCACTACCTGTTTATTATTATTGTCCCCTTTAGACTCAGTGATCCTTTGCTTAATTTGTATAATTATCTGATTAGTTATACCTTCTTTAAGTTTGCAGTAGCTTATTGAACTGTTTTACCTCCACTGGTACACTTTCAGTGCTATCTGCAGTGTAGTTTATGATTTCTACCCTCTCAATGTCCTCTGAACCAGTTTTGGGTGAGTTGTAAATTTTTGGAGGCATTTTGTTGTCTTATCTTTTTATATTTCTCTCTCTCTCTCTCTCTCTCTCTCTCTCTCTCTCTCTCTCTCTGTGTGTGTGTGTGTGTGCGTGTGTGTGTGTGTGCTGGGGTATGTAAATTTTTGTCTCAGTGTCCTTTTCTTGGAAAGTGAGGTACGGTATTATTTATTACCTCCAGGTAGAGACAAGGCCAACTACCAGCAAGTACTATGCTACATGGGCTATAATAGTAAATTCAATGACCACAATGTCATCAAATTTAAATTGAACATTGATGAACTGTAGGAACCATTCATGAACAGTCCTCAATGAAAATAAAGAGGACTATGATTTAAGTGAAGATAATTAGGTCACCCTTATTTTGATTTATAGTAGTTCTGATCACTAATTCTGCTGAATGTATGCAGCAGTGCCAGAAGTCCAACATACCACAAAACTGTATGCCTTCTTTTTTAGTACCAGCCCCTCTAACAGCTACTCTCAATGATCCTGACCTCCCACAATGCAGTTTATTGTCTTTGGATTTATTTTGTTGTCATAGTCACTTAGTGTCCTACTATTTTATGGACAGTCTAGTATTTAATTTGTTATATAATAGTCTATCCTTTTTTTGGGGGGGGGGCAGTTCCAACCCATCCCGAGAGCTTTTCTTATATCTTTTAAGGAAAGGCAAACCTAAGGTTCTTGATGTTTTAGTACAAATTGTGATACTTCATACATGTGCTAACATATGATTTCAGAGATACTTTCACTCTTTAACACACAAGTAAGTATCACATGGGAGCAAATAACTTCCTTTATTTTAATTTTACTCACTGATGGTAATTTGACTGGCAGACACTTTTTTTGCTGCCTAGGAGGCTAAGCAGGAAGAGTGTAAATTTGAGGCCAAGCTGGGCAATTTAGAGAGACCATCTCAAAACAAAATTTAAAAAGAGCTCAGGATATAGCTCAGTGCTCTCTGGGTTCAATCTTCATGAATTGACCCACCCCAAGAAGTGATTAACCCTATGTGGTAGACATTACTATCTCTAATCTATAGTTAAGACAGTTGGTACTAGTAGAATGGCAAGTATTCTACTATTAACTTAGGTTGGTAGCACTACCTCTTCTTAATGGGAGGCTGAGGAAGGAAGATCAGAAGTTTGAGCCCAGCCTAAGCAACTTATTATTAACTTAGTGAGTTCCTGTCTCAAAATAAAAATGGGGCTGGGTACTGACCCAACCCCTCCAGGAAAAGCCCCTATTCTGGTTCATGTCTGCTTGGAATGTGACTTGCTTCCACATTTGATCCCCATGTAATCACGATTACCTGAGCAATTATGCTTGTAATCTTATTGTTTGATCATAGTTTTGTCCCACCTCATGGCCACCTTTCGATTTCTCATTTTTTCCTCAACTTGGACCTGCCTCACCTTGTGGTTTTGCTTTATAAAAATCCCTTGCAAAGGCCAGGTCCTTAGCAACCCACTTGGGACTGCTTCGGTCTCTCTCTCTCACATGGTAGCTTTTTCCTCAGTAAATATATTCTGCTATAAAAATGGGCTGGGATGTAGTTCAGTGTGAAGGCCCTGGGTGCGCTCTCCAGTATCTCAAAAGAAAACAAAACAAAAAAAAGAAAACAGACTTCTTTTATTTGAACTCTATATTTTGGGGTTAAGATAGTGATTTTGCCCCCCCCCATGAATACATTTCCTAAACTGGCTTGCATTATTAGACCTTTTTTCTTCTAGAATGAAATCTTAGTAATGACAAACATTGTAGGGGTTCTCTAAACATTAAAGTCTCATTTTGTTCTATATGACGACAGAAAGTAGCATTCTCTAATATGATTGTCACTCAGAATTTTTCTTTTTCTTCATTTTGAATAATGAGTTAATCAGCAAGTATTCATTGAATAGTTGTATAGATGGGATTATTAATTTATAGTACCTATAGATAGCTGTTTGCCTTATTGAGACTCACGTTAGAAGTCTGATTTTCTTTTTAACAACATCCACTATTAAAGCTTTAGAGGATGTATCTACTCAGGAAGATGTGAAGGTTAATATTTGCCAGACTGCTAGAGGAGAAAATTAGAAAGATATTGGTAGTTTACTTTTTTTTGGTGAAAGGATAGAACTGAGGGGCTTAGAGCCTACTAGGTAAGCACTGTAGCACTAAGCTGTATTCCTACCCTCTCCATCTTTTTCTCCTTCAAAGTACAAGAACATTTAATACTACTCAAAGAAAGAAAAGGAAAGAGCAAATATAGGGATCATTTTCCCTTAGTTCTTTATAAAATTACTTTCTTGTTTGTGTCTTTTTTATTTCTTTTTTAAAAAAACTACATTATCTGTTGAATTCTATTTTTCTGGCAGTACTGAGGATTAAATCCGAGAGTGCTCTACCCACTGAACTACATCCCTAACCCTTTTTTTTTTTTTTTGTCTTTTTGAGACAGGGTCTTGTTATGCAGTTCGGGCTTGTCTTGAACTCAGTATGTAGCCCAGGCTGGCCTCAAAGTCGCCACGATCCTCCTGCCTCAGCCTCCCTAGTGCTGGGATTACAGGTGTGCGCCATCATGCCCAGCTACATCCCTAACTCTTTTTAAACTTTAAGACAGTGTCTTGCTATCTTGCCCAGGAAGGACTCAAACTGTTGATCCTCCTGTTTCTCTAGTAGCTAGCTAAATTCTTAAGTAGCTGAAGCAAGCCTCTTCTATGAGTGTGTAAATCATGTGGTATTGCTACTTTTGTTCATTTTGGGAATTTTCAGTCATAGAGTGATAGAGCTGAAAGAAATCCTAGAAATAATTTTTATTTACTCATTTTTAGTTTTAATGCTTCCATTTTTAGTTGCAGCTTATTAGTACATGTGTGTAGTACATACTGTTTAAATTTATAGATGAAGCTGTATATGTACATACCAAATTTTAATTCTTTTCCTCATCACCCCTTTCTTCCTTCCCTAACTTGATCCTCTGTCCTTTTCTTGGTACATGTTTGCAGTACGTAACGTTCACATTCTTTTGTGGAGTTGGTCCATGTATATAACCCATCTCAATTCCTTTCTTCACCCTTTATCCTTTGCTTCCCTTCCCCCTCCCTCCACCTCCTGATCCTCTTCCCCTTTGAGAACAATCTGTCACCCTTTTTCTATTATCTCTTATTTTGTTCTTTATTTCTACTCTGGGTTTCTCATGTAGGAGCAACAGTATGATATTTAAACTTGAATGTCTGATTTATTTCACTTAACATTATGGTTTTAAGGTGCATCCATTTTCCTACAAACGACTAAAGTTTATCTTTCTTTATGGAAAAGTAGTACTACATAGTGTGTAAATACCACATTTCTTTATCCATACAGAGATAATGTAATAGTCTTATAGATAAGGAAAGTTTGAGACATTAGTAGTGGGGCATAATAAATGACAGGGTGCTTTTCTGGTTTCAAGATGGGATTGCAGTTAAGGTATTCACAGCAGTTCAGAATAGAAGGTTATTATGAGCTTTTGTTTTTAGGGCAAAAGACTACTGTTTAGTTTAACACCTCGAATGTGGAGATAAGTACAAGAACTATTCAAGTCAAAGGAACATTAGACGTGACATCATGTCATAATATAATAAAGTAGGATACCAGTTTCTGCATTTCTAGAAAAAGTACATGATTGCTCATTCAGTGTCAGCTCTGTTCAACAAAGATTCTTTTTTGTTTGTTTGTTTTTGGTTTTCTCCGGTACTGGGAACTGAACTCACAACCTTGCGCTTGCCAGGCAGGTGCTTTTGCCGCTGAGCTAAATCCCCAGCCCCTGTTCAACAAAGATTCTTATCACTTATTCCTCTGTATTTTGAGCTGGCCATTATGTTTAGTGACACCAACTAACATTTCTAAAAGATTAGGAAACAAAAATTTAAAACAATAGTTACATTATACTAAAATTGACTTACGGACAAATATCTTGTCATCTAATTTCAACCAATTATTGACATTCTCTTTCTGAGGCAGTTGCTCAAGGAGATTTTCAAAGCACATCTGCGTGTGCAGTGCATTGTAAAGATATGTTGCTGAGGCTCCCCAAAATGGGGAGTGAAGTTGCTGCAGTTATTCTCCCAGAGTTTGAAAATACGATGTATCAAGTTCCAGGGAGAACCGTTATTACTGCGTAAAACCTTTTGGTTTTATTTGAGGTCAGTTCCACTTAAGTGATCTTTGAAATATTTTACTTGTTTTGTTATTTGTCAGGGAGGGTATTTGAAAGAGTGATGTGCATTATATCTTAAAATTTGTTTTTCCTTTTATTGTCAAATCATTTTGATAATATTTTCTCCACAGCTCGTGATACACAAAGAAAGAAGAAATGAGTTTATTTCCCTGCTGAAAAAGTTAAAAGTACTGAATTATGTCACTGTTATAATATTTTTTCTATATTGGGAGATGGAGGTATGAGAGGTTTGACAGGATGAAACCTGCTTCCTGGACTGGATCTCATCAAATTTTCTAAATTTATATATTTTGCTTTTCACTTTATCTCCTTTTTCCATTCTTTCTCTCTTTTTCAGTACCAATGCATCTTACAGAAGGAAGTAATAACAGAGATATATGCAGAGATTAGGGAAATGTTCCCAGGGTACTAAAATTGTACTGACTTATGAGGTTGCTCTTATCCTCTCCTCCATATTATAATGTAGAACTTAATGTAAATGTTTGTACATTGCCTATGTATGCTAGGTAGATGTTCTAGACTTGTTTGTGTATTTATTTATGTCACAATGAGGATTGAATCCGGTGTCTTGTGCATGCTAGACAAGTGTTCTAGTGTTGACCTTCATATCAGCCATTTTATTTTTTCTTTTGAGATAGGTTCTCACTAAGTTGCCCACTGTAGCCTGGAACTTGTGCTCTGCTTGTCTTAGCCTCCTGAGTAACAGAATACGTATGAGTGCTACCATGCTCAGTTTAGGCTTTAAAAATAATCTCATGTTTACAGAGTTACTAAACTAGTACAAAGAATCTATATATACTATTTTCCTGGAGGCTCCAGATTCACACTTTCTGGTAATGACCACATTTTCCAGTAAAGACTGTAAGCTTGTATTGCAATCTCTAATTTCTTCTAATCTGTAATACTTCTTTACTTTTGTCTGTTCATGATCATAACAGTTTGTAATATCCAGCTTCTTCATGATTAGAACAAGTTATAATTTTGGTGCTAGAAGTTCATGATCATAGAATAAATTCTTTGTTTTATTCATTCCTTCCTATTAGGTGATAGAGAAGGTTGAGACATCCTATTATTGGTTATGCTAACTTTGATCTCTCGATTGATCTGGTATCATCCACATTTTTGCACTGTAAAGTAAGCATTTTTACTGGTTATTCATAAGTATTAAGTAGAGTAATACTTTGAGACTCTGGAAAAATCTAATTTATTATCCTATATTCATCTGCTATATTTTTTCTTGCCTTTCCTACTTCATTGAGGTATAATTGAAAAAACTGTATATTTAGCATTCTTTATGATTTTCTTTTGTCTTTTTTAGGTTTTAATAATTTTTTGATTTTATGAAAAAACAAAAGTTTTATAACAAAATAAGAGAATAACAATAGTTAATACACTGTGTATCATTATCTTCAAAGTTGTTATTCAGAAAAAAGTAATTACTCAGAGGGAAAAAAGATTCTCTTTTACAAAAAAGAAATAAAGAGATAATAGCTCAAAACTTTCCTTTCAATGAACTAAGAAAAACTATTAGTATAAAGGAAATGAATTAGTGTATATATTAAACATTTTTCACACAATGGAGTAGGTAATTTAGGGAAAGTTTTGAACTACCTACTTCCTAATTATCTATCTTCTATTTTGCTGCCTCTCTCTCTCGCTCTCTCTCTCCTCTCTCTCTTTCTCTCTCTTATATAAGAGAAACCATGTAGTGTATAAGCTTGTATGTCTGACTTATTGCCCTTAATGTTATATTCTCAAGTTGCATGTATTGACCTATAAATGCAACAAGTTGATGTGTATTTCTTTGTGGCTTTATAGTACTTCACTGTGTATAAATATCACATTTTTCTTATCCAAACATCTGTTGATGAACATATATGGTGTTCCCAAGATCTAGCTATCATAAATTGTGGTACTATAAACATGATGTCATGGCTTGTATCTACATGTTCCTGAAAAGCCTCATGTGGTCATAAGTGGGGCTTTTTGAAGGTAGCTGGATATAGGGTACATGATACTGGGACCAAGGATGCGGTATTGACTCATAGTGTGATGCTAGGATTAAGGCTGCCCATCTCTGGGCATGACTGCTACCCACCTTAAGTGTGGATACCTGGATAAGATATAAGGGGCAGAAAGAGGTTTGCTGCTGTCTTTGCTTACTGCTTACTACACTTCTTTGCTGCCTTCTGCCTGCCATGAATTATTTCTCTTCTGTGATGCCCCTCTCCAATGCTACCCTGTCTTGAAGCTAGCCAATTATGGACTAAAACTTCTACAAACTGTGAGGTGAAATAAACCTTTCCTCCTTTAACTTTGGGTATTAGGTATTTTGTGTTAACAACAAGAAAAGTAACTAAGAGAGAATTTGGTACCAAAGAAGTGGGGTTATTGTTGTGATTCTACCTGACCATGTGGGTCAGCAGCCTTTGGATCTGGCTTATGGGAAGAGTTTGGAAAGGTTGGAAATGCTGTCTGAAGAAGCAGCCCTAGAATTCCTTAAGCTGTACTTGATGGGAGATTTTGGTCAGAGCTCCAAGGACCAGAACGCTGATACAAATGCTGCTAGTAAAGACCAGACTCAGAAGGGTTCTGGTGGAAAGGAAGACTGCAATGGCTGTTCGACTCCAGACAATGTGTATTATACATTGGCAGAAAGTTTGTCTGCATTTTGCTCATGTCCAGAGACTTTTCCTGAGACTATGATTAAAGGGATTGGGCTAATTAATCTTCCAGAAGAAATTTCAAGACAGTCTAATGTTGAGTAAGTGGCCTGGTTATTCTTGGGGCATGTTAGCCAAATTTATGTTGGGAATCAAGTGCAAAGGGCCCAGTAGAATGATTTAAAATGTTGCAAATTTGGCCAGAAAGGAAGCTCCAGTAAAGTTGTGGCCTGCAAAGATAGAACGGAAGAGAAATTGATTGCTGAAAAGACTAGCATGAAAAAGCCAAGTATTTTAGAAGAGGACAATGGAAAAGATGGCTTGAGACATCACAAGAACCAGCAGGACTCCACCCTTTGTAAAGTCAAAATTGCAAAAGTAAAAGATACTGTTTTGAGAAGAGAGCCCTGGAGCACCACATTCCAGAATAGTGGCAGCCCAGGGAAATTGTTTCTTGAGATTTGGTTCATAGACATTCTACCTCTTCAGCCAAAAGAGAAGGAAGCCTGGCTACTGCTCCAGCTGGCATGAGACCTTGGCATCCCCCACTTGGTGCTGATTTTAGGTGCATGAAGAATGCAAGAGCCATTGGATCAGAAAGGCTTCCACCCAGACTTCAAAAGAGGCCTGGGAGTCCAGACAGTGTGACCTTGGAGGGCAGTGTGTGAAGCTGTGAGTGTGAAGCTGAAGGTGCATTAAAGACCTCAGAAGTTTGGAGAATCCAAGAGCATGGATTGTCCGGGGAAAGTGGCAAGGAGTGAGAAAAGCTACTCCAAGAGAGAAGCCATGGGGGTAACCACCAAAAGTGCTGCAGGGGCAGAGCCACTGCAGCCCTTTGGAGTTTACAACTTGCCAAAGATTTCCAGGGATGCTGGACATGGAACTATGGGATTAATGTTCACCCTGGGTCATTTTGATCTTGCTTTGTTCCCATTTCTTCCTATCCATCTGTTGTGCCTTAGGAGCTTGCAGCTAAGAGTTGCCTGAAATCTCAGGGGAGACTATAGACTTGGGCTTTTCAGTAGTGCTGAAACTGTTAGAATTTTGACAACTCGTAGAGATGGGCTAAATACCTCTTGCATAAAGGGATGTACATGAGTCTATGGGGGTCCAGGGGAGGAATGTTTTGGCTTATATCTAGATGTCCCCTCAAAGCCTCCTGTGATCATAAATGAGGCTTTATAGAGGTGGCTAGATCTAGGGTACATGATGCTGGGATCAAGGATGTAATGCTGGGACTGACTCATAGTGCAGTGCTAGGATTAAGGCTGCCCCTCCCTGGGTGTGAGGTGGGTAGATTGGATAAGATAAAAGGGACAGAAAGAGGTTCACTGCTGTTTTCACTTGCTGCTTGCTACTTCACTGCTTTGCTGCATTCAGCCTGCCATGAACTCTTTTTCCTCTGTGATGCCCCTCTGCCATGCCACCCTGCCTTTAGCTGGCCAATTATGGACTGATACCTCTACAAACTGTGGGCTGAAATAAACCTTTCCTTCTCTAAGTTTGGGTGTCAGGCATTTTATTTGAGCAATGAGAAAAGTAAGACAATCGATGTGCATGTATCCCTATGATATGATTGTTATACTTTTGGGGAAGGTACCTAGAAGGGGGATAGCTGGGTGAAATGGAATTTCTATTTTTAGGGTTTTTAAAAATTTTTTCTATTTTTTATTTTAAGGAGAAAGAAAAAAGCAATAACAACATAACAACAATGAGGACAAAAATAAAACAATACAAAAACAATACAGGATTTCAAAACAAGATGATAGGAATTAACAATTGGTCGCATATTACATACTGTTATCTTTAACAAAGTTGCTCAGCTTACCACATGTAAGAATACAAAATTGATCAAACAATTAAGACAATAACAAGTAATAAAAAAAACATTAGAAATGATACAGAGCTGCACCAAACAAGATGGTAGGAACTCAGCAATGGTTGTTATATTTTGAGAGCATATTTTCTTTTAAGTTTTACTGAAATTGTTGTATTTTTAGTTTTTTGAAGAGTCTCCAAACTAATTTCCCTAATGGTTGTACTGGTGTACATCTCCACCAACAATGTAGAAAAGTTTGTTTCTTTCCATATCCTTGTCAACAACTATTATATGATGTTTTGACAGCCATTGTTTGTGGAATAAGATGGTGTCTGTATGTAGTTCTAATGTACATTTCTGTAATGACCAGGCACATTGAACA